GTATGTGGCGGACAGCCAACTATGCTGTCCTCCTCATTCAATGCCTGGTGCGTCACCGTCATGCAACTTCACACGCGGCTAATCTCCTACTGGCTGACCGGCAGACCCGTGGCCTACTTCTAGCCGCACACAGGCGCACGCAAACATGCGTGCATCCAGATAGCCGCGGCTACTTCGGGGTCCCTTGAAAATGCCAGCTCTCAGTCAACACAACAGGGGCCTCTACAGACGACACCCCCTCGGGCAATGCAACACACCAATTGCAGACCACTTGAACTCGCTCTGCAATCATGTGAAAACAAGTGTCATCTCTATCACACACAGACAGGCAGACACTCTCGGGCATGACTGGATGCAGTCAACGTCAACAATGGCTTGGCCAGTGGCCACTACGGCCTGAGACAGCAATGCAGGGTTCTGCGCACAATAAACCCCTCCTTATGAGAGCTTCTGTCTTTTGTATACAATCTGGGATTTTGAGCCGATGATTGTGGTGCTCTAAACACAACCACGGCCTATGAGGAGCCTAAATCGCGTTGATGGCCGCAAAAACAATTCTGTATCTCACTAGGTTCGGCATATCCTCAGGTCTCCTCAGTCATGCAGTACAACTGCTCCAATTCCTTCCGCATTAGGATTGGCTGGTGATGGTGTGGGTAGCGTGTAGGCAGTGTTTCATCTGACACCAGACTGCAGTCTTCCTCGTCGTTGTCGCCGAACCAGTCCTGGTGCTGACGACGTGCACGACCGAATGCTTCCATCGAGATTGGTACTGCTTCTGGATTTGCCTCTGTTCTGTGGGTAAGTTCATGTAACTGCCTAGGTTTAATCTTCCCTCAGTAATATTGACGTCTGGACGACTTCAAATCTCCCCCCATATTTACTGTTCATTGACCTAAGACGCTTGCTACTCTACCCTTACTTATATTACTATACAGGATAATGATGTTCGTTTAGCAAGACTATCGCGTAGCATTAAGGCTAACGAAGGTTTTAACCCTAACGGCAGCGATCTTTCAGGCCCGGTTCCTTAGGAGGTGGGC